CTTGCGCTATCAATTCAGTGATATTAGTGATTTTCTGCTAGCCTTTATCTGTTTAGCACTTTCTCCGTTTTATAATGTAAGATTTTTTAACATTGTCTGTATGAATATAGATATTAATGAATCTAGACATATAAACGGAGGAAGTATGTATTAGAGTACATATATTTTTTATCGGAAACTAGAGTACATGCATCAGCGTGTACGTGTGTGATGGTGGTGTACGTGCGCGCATCTATCTCCCGTGTAATCTAAAAACACAACACCTGCATATGTCATATCTGCTACCTACTTTTCTCGCGAACGAAATCGGACGGCACGCACTGTACGCACCACGTGCAACACGTACCAAGTACCATGTTCTCAACCTAATAAAAATCAGCTAATTACCTGTGATGATCGGTCTTTCCACGCGATAATACCATTGTCACGAACCCATCATGCGCAACTAACGAACCCCGCGCCGCGCGAGGATGACGGATCGCTCTCATGAACCCTACCTATCCATGAATCCATCCATCCATCCAGCGAAATTCGCTTCCGGCATCATGCCATCCACGATCCCAGCGGCACAACGCGCCACACACCACGGGCCGCTCGTACAAGTCCGTTGTGCTGCGTGCAGAGTGCAGCGTGCTCCTCGACAAGGAATCTCTATCTCTCTCGTCAATTCTCCTCTGCTCTCTTTTTTTTGTTTTTTTTGTCCCATGTTAATCCCTACTAGTACTAAGCTAAAGCGCGCTCTGATGGGGGTGATATTATCACATCCCGATCCCGCGATATCATCAGCGCCCACTCACTCACGCCGCGCACAGCCGCGCGCACTCGCGAGCACGCGCGCTTTACGCTTTTTCTTACGGCCTAAACCGTGTGAGCGAGCGCGCGGGGGTGAGCGAGCGGTGGATTCCACAGTGTCGCGCGCGCTTGACCCCGAGTCAGCGTGCGGTCCCGACTCCGACTCCGCGGGCGCGGTTGCGCGCTGTTGGTTGGAGTACGCCGCGGCGAACGACGGGGAGAGTGGTGGACTGGACTGGTAGCGTGACGGTGGTGGGGTTAGGCCCCGGGGCTCCCGTGTTGACGACGCGGCGACCCGGCCGACCGTATAAAGGGAGACGTACTCCCTCCGTACTCGTAAAGAAAATCATTTAGAACAATATTTAAGTTAAATCTTAGAAATATAAATCATGAATAATCACAAGTTGTTGAGTTTAAAAATACAAAAATTATATAAATAGATTTATCTTAAAATTAATTTCATAAAAGTATAAATATATTATTTTTCAATAAATATTTTTATAAAAATAAGAAGTTAAAATTGTGTTTTGGAGATCGTGCCGTTTAAAAAACGATATCCTTTACGAGTACGGAGAGAGTATAACACGAGTACACGAGGCGCGGCGCGCGGGCGCGGAGCGGCACCGGAGGTGAATTCGCCAAAACGTGGTGTGGTCAAAGAGACCGCCCCGGCCTTTTGGCGGACGGCGACGGGTAGCTATATTAATCGATCGGATCAAGGCGCTGCTACGCTTTTTACGCTGCTAAGCGCGTCGCGGCTGGCGAAGCCTTGAAGCGACCGTGATGCCCCCCGCGACGGCCAGGTGTTTAACGAGTTAGGCTAGCGTTGCGCGCGGTCGCCGTCAGGTTGTGCTTGACTGTCCGGTGAATACCATGGAGAGGTAGCCAAAGGGAAATTACCAGCAAGGACCCCTGATCGTTGCCAGTGGTCGGCCTCACACACGTGCCAATCGAGAAGAGATGTTGTGACCAAGTTGAAGCCTGTGCTGCTGTGCCCAAGTAGCCTGTCCGTCCATGTGTTATTGTGTTGTACTACTACCATGGTGTGTACTGCTACTAGTTGGGCACAGTCAGATACATCGGACCAGGAGATTCGGAGATCGCTTCGAGCTGGATGGACTGCTAGCATGGTGTACAGGAAAAGCGACGTGAAGGAGCATGTCCGTTTGACTTGAGCAGCAGAAACTATATATATATATGCGATTCGGCGAAGGCCTACAGGCTACAACTTGACGGAGGCCTACAGGCTACAACTTGACCGACTTGAATGCATGGTAGGCCATGCGCACGTTTCGGCGCAAGTCAACTGCACATATGGCAACGCACGAGTACGACACTCTTAAGACAGGTCAACTGTCCTAGGCCAGGGCTTGTCCCAATGGGCACCTGAGCTGGGGCCATATGTGTATCTTGTATCTCATCCTAAAATTTTAAGCCATGTGACATCGAATGTTTAAACACCTGCATAAAATATTAAATATAGTCTAAAAAAATAACTAATTGTACAGATTGCGACTACTTTGCGAGACGAATATTTTAAGCCTAAATGCTCCAATGTGGTGCTACGGTAAACATGTGCTAATGACAAATTAATTAGGCTTAATAAATTCGTCTTGTGGTTTGCTCATAGATACTTTAATTAGTTTTTTATTAGTGCCCGAACACTAGGGGTGGGCATTCGGTCTGACTGAAAATTTCGGTCTCGGTCTTCGGTCTTTGAAAAGTGAAGACCGAATTTCAACGCAAAAATGTCAGGACCGAAAAATTCGGTCTCGGTCTCGGTCTCGGTCCTGACCGAAATTCAACAATATTTTCATACATGCAAAGAAATAATGAAAATTTTTAACACAAAAATCACAAAAAAAAATTATAAGCACTTATGAGTTAAGACTGTTATTAGGTTGCATGCCTAGAAGAAGTAGGGATGTAAAAATTATAGTTTAATCCTATTTAATATAGTGGATTGTAAGTTGCATTTACACTTTTTTGATAAATCGATCTTTTCGATCTATTCGGTTAACCGAGGAGACTAACTAAATTCACCGAACAAAATTCGGTCTTTCACTGCCTAGGATCGACTTGATGACCGAATTTCTCGGTCTCGGTCTTTTCGGTTCGGTCCTTTTCTGCCCACCCTTACCAAACACCCTATATAATACCCAATGTGACATGCCAAAACTTTACACCCCTAAATCTAAACACCACCTATATAGCAGTATTGTGTAGTATCCTACTGTAGTATGGATCCATATCCTTTTCCATTACTGCACAGTGCATAGCAGTAACAAGCTAACAGCAGCTGGCATGTGGGTTTATGATGTGTGAGGTCTACCTGTCAGCTGTAACTGTTGTATAGCAATAAATGCGTACAATTCATGTCATGCTAGTATACTACTCTGTTAAAAAAAACACATTCATCCCAACATGTTTGTCCAGATTAGGATTGGTTTTTTTTTATGGAGGGGTATGTGTTTTGCATGGATGTAAATGCACTGTATTGTTCTAAAATCTAAAATCTTAAGTGTACAAAAATATTGCATACATTCTTAGATAGATAGAAATATTGCATACCACTTACATCTCTTGAAAGGAAGATATATATTGGTTCAACCTAAAAGGCCACGCATAGATCGAACAATCATCACAACATAGCTATATTTTTAGGAAATTTTATTTTGTGAAAGTTAGAAATAAGTCATAATCAACCTGGGACTCAATCCACCAATTCTTGTATGTGGCTCATATTAATCACATACTCAAGCAAGTATATTCATGCTAAAGTTTCCACATATTCACACTTCATGTTTTAGGGAAAAAAATAATCACCTTTCTTTTACTAAAAAAAAATCACCCATAACCTTTGTCAAGTCGATGTACTAGCACGTCTACATATGCCATATTGTACTTCTCTTCCAACACATGGACACTCAGCTCAACAATAGGATTTAACAAGCATGTTCTCATTTTAATTTTGTTTGGTAAATCGGCCAAGTTAAAAAAAAGGGTAAGTTGAAGTACCTATTGGACCTACTGTTGCAGTTAGGGGTGATAATGGGCCTAATATTATTTTCTACGAAATTTGAGGGTTAGATTTGAAGTGGAGTGGACTGAATTTCTATATATTTTCTTTACTCAAAAATATATTGAGATTGAGTTCTTTTCTTCTCTTTTTCAACTCACCTCTCTCGTTTTCCACGTGCACACTTTTCAAACTACTAAACGGTGTATTTTTTAAAAAAAAATATACGAAAGTTATTTTAAAAAATTATATTAATTCATTTTCAAGTTATTCTTATCTAATACTTAATTAATGATACATTAATAAACCACCACGTTTTTCATGCAGGGAGGTCCACCTCACGAACACAGCCTGAGTAGGATTGTGAAAGGACCCATTACAACCCTGTAGTACATGCCACACCGTTTGACACCTATTTACCGGAAACAACACATTTGTAGTGATATGGATCTAATTAACCTTACCATATTTAGTTTCAAAGTGCAAACCTTAAAAATTAGAGTTATTTAAGTTTCAAAATTCATACCCTTAAATAAAAGTGATTTTAAGGCCTTAAGGAGGAGGCACCTCATCTTAATTGTATTATTTATTTATTTTGTAGGAGCACTGCTACACGTACTAAATTTCTTACTAAATTTGTGTAGTATATATTTATACATCAACACTAGATTAGAGAAATACCGAGAGATGCAATACTCTGTTCGTACTAAAAAGTGTGGTACCCCGGTCCATCCTACCGTAAGAAAAATTTGTAACTACTATCACATATATACTTGGTTGATTGAGTTTTTGAGTGTGATTAAAAGGAATCATTTTGCAAATTGTAGCGATCTGGCCCTCCAGGAGAAATAGCTGCCTAGCTACAAAGTAGGAAACATGGTTGGTTTTGTCCTTGTCGTGGCTACTCCAAGCAACACCAAAAAAAACGCATGCAGCTAAGCTAGGCAGAGGCAGCGCTTTCGGCAGGAAATCCTACGGTAAGTCGGTAATCCATCATCATATCAGCGGAGACAAAGTGCGGAAAAAAGGTTTATCAAAATTACCCGCGACACCGATCGAATCACCGCGGGGGCATTTCCGGCAACCCCGTGCTCCTCCGAAAGCAGTAGTGGCAGTGGGATGCCCCTGACAGCGACATGGCCTGGGCCGTGGTGATGAGTGATGACCCGGAGAATGAGAGAGGCGACTGTGCGGATATATATGCAGCGATAGCTCACTCGGTTGTTGCATCGATCGCTTCATCACTCGCTAGCTCATCACTGCGAGCGGAGACAGCTCAGGAGGGAGGAAGCAAAAGAAGAGAGAGAGAGATCAAGAGATAGACGAAGAGATTTGTCTGTGTAAATCAATGGAAGGGCAGCAGTTCGCTTGGGGAAGGGAGGAGGGAGGGTGGAGGAAAGGGCCATGGACAGCGCAGGAAGACAAGCTGCTGGTTGAGTACGTGAGGCAGCACGGCGAAGGGAGGTGGAATTCTGTCGCCAAGATCACAGGTAGGTGCTATAGCTACTGATTGAGTGGTGTTCTTGCATGTTCGTGACCATTTCGATGTTCTCTCGCACGTTGTCCCAAATCAAGAAGCTCGATATATATAGCCTTTTAGGAAGAAATTATAGCTAGTAGCATCAGTTTGCATTTGGTTTGTTAAATTGCACGTTGGGGCAGTCAAACATGCAATTAGTACATGTTTAAGGTTGCATATGTCGCCCATGATTGTCAAGTTGCATGATTTGATTCCAATTGCGGCATTTGGTACGATCGTGTTTTCGGAGAATAGGCATTTGGTGCTTGCTCTAGCACATGCATTAATTAATTAAACCGCGTATGAACTGCATGCACGCGCGTGTAAATTCGTCAGAACCTTTTCCTAGCTGTAACCGTGGAAATCCTTTTCCTAGCTGAGAGTTAGCTTCAGATGATTAGCATTAACCAAGCTTTACTTTCTTAGTTAAGTACAAATGGGAGTGGTAGGTGTGTCATGTACATGTTACTTTTTCTGCATATGTACGTCAGCTAATTCTGTCTGATGCTATGTATCTTACAGTACTGAGCCTGTGTATGTCGTGCTTTGCAGGTCTGAAGAGAAGTGGCAAGAGCTGCAGGCTTCGTTGGGTGAACTACCTGAGACCTGACCTCAAGCGAGGCAAGATCACGCCACAGGAGGAGAGCGTCATACTCGAGCTTCATGCCTTGTGGGGAAACAGGTAACAACCCATTTGCAAATCCTTTCGTGATCGAGCTCGATCGCGTTTAATTTTGCCATGAATGTGTAACTGATTCGATCGATCGCATTATTCTCTGTGGCGGTGTAGGTGGTCGACGATCGCGCGTAGCCTGCCTGGCAGGACGGACAACGAGATCAAGAACTACTGGAGGACGCACTTCAAGAAGGGCAAGCCGTCCAAGAACATCGAGCGCGCGAGGGCTCGGTTCCTGAAGCAGCGCCGCGAGATGCAGCAGCAGAGCCAGCTGATGCAAACCGGCCAGCAGCAGCAGCTCGGCCAAGACGACGACGCCACCAGCGCGGTGGTGGACGACAACCTTGCGGAGGTCGCGCCACCAGCCGCCACCTCGCTGACCCACGACGGCGAGCTCCAGATAATGCAGGAGATGGCGCCGGACATGGACGACCTGCTGTACTACCACCCGGGAGACATGTCGCCCTATTCCTACGACGACCTCCTCGGCAGCGGCGGCGGCGAGTGCGGCGCCGTGGCGGCCAGCGCTGGCGCTGCCGCCTCGACGAGCGAGGGCTCAAGCGAGGAGCTCGACGGCGGCGCCGCCACGTGGGGCAGCCTGTGGAACCTCGACGACGTGGTGCACGACATGATGATCGACTGCGCCGCCGGCGCCGGCTGCTGCTGGGGTAGCTTCCCTCCGCTACAGGATAAAGGCCTCGCTTTCTACTAGCTATAGCTTAACGATTACTAAATTGCTAGCTAGCTATAGCTACAAGCCTACACACTCTACAAGTAGATGTTCCTTTTGGTCTTGTGCATCGATCCAAACTGATAGCACACAGCAGCCTGTGCGTGTGGAGGAGGTCACACGTAGTGACTATGCAGGTGAGAGCGAGAGGCCATTTTGTGTACACGAAGTGTTGGTGGATAAGGATGCAACACCAACTATACTCCACTTTGAGTAGCTAGCTCGCCTCGATGGCATGTTTGGCTCATTTGAGAGCGCTTTTTCTAGGAGAAAAAGGAAGGGAAGAGTTTTTTTCTTTGTTTTGCTTTTGGAGAAAGAATATAGGAGGACTGCAGGGGGGAAAATCAGGTGTTAAAAGTGCATCTGAGCTCTTGAAATTTGACAGTTGTCCATTCGAGGCCATGTACTTCCAGGCAAATTATTCTATACATCATGGTGAGAATTCATTCATAGAGACGCTAGTAAGGACCTTCTTATAGTACTTGTGGTAATAGGATATTACTCTTAGGGTTTGCTAAGGGGCGAGCACTCGTTGGCAGCGAATGTATTCCAACAAACTCCACGTTTGTCGGGGTGTTCACGAGAGCCACAGACACGGACTCTACTACCCAAACCCCATCGGATCAGAGTTTCAGGGTGAGGAACGGGGGGAGGGGGTTCGGAAGTGGATGATGGCTGACACTGGTGGGATGGGAAAGGATGGTGGGGAAGATGGGTGCCAACCAGTTAAGTTGCACGGAGTTGTGGATTGCGGCAGGAAAGGGCATGGTGCGAGGGTTTGGTAGTGGTGTTGTCGACTAAAGGAGGTGGTGAAGGGGTAGAGGTTGGCGCAAAGAATTGACATGGTAAATAGGACAAGCTCAATAGAGGGAAACCTATCGTGGGGCTCGTTGGCGTCGAGTTTCCCGGTGTTAATTTTGCTAAGAAGAGGAAAAATGGGGCGGGTGCTAGAGGGTGAGGGAGGAAGGTCGCCTTAGTCTCTTGTGATTGGAGGAGGTCGTCTCAAGGAAGAGGATAAGGCGGGGGAGGTTTGGGGTAATCATTGATTCTAAGACAAAATTAAAATATATTTTTATATTTGTGAATGTACCTTTGATGTTGTCTAGAGGGAGTGAATAGACACACTTCCTAAAATTCACTTTGCAACAATCAGTATAGGCCGAAACTTCCAGTGCGCGCATGAGGACCTACAAAACAAGCCAAGCAACCTTACCTTAAAACTTTCGGTTTCTATAATAGAACTTATAGTCAACTAGTCCTTGGCAACAAAGAGCACTCAATCGAAACTTCTAGTCTATATATGTACTAGAACTTTCGGGACCAACAAAAAGCTAGAACCCAGTGCTCATGTTGCGTAAGATGACTCTCATCTGTAGATCAAGCGATCGATTTGAGCACTTGAGTGACAATTAAACCATTCTCGTGCATCCTCTTCATGTACAGCATACCTGGACCCTAATTCAAAATCAAAATTAAAGTTAACTTAAATCGCTTTGACACATTTACAAATTCTTTCTCTTGTTTTTAAGGGTCACCATTCGTCAATGAATTTCTTGAATAAAACTAATGTCTACTTATTTGTTAAATACACCAATCCATTAATCATTTTTGACATCAATTAGTCAAAATCCTCTTAGAGGACCTAGATGCACTTCAAATTTAAACCAACGTAATTTCCACTATTAATTCATCTATCTATCATAGCGGCCTCCATCAGTACCCTCCTAACCACCGGTCCATCCCCTTGATTTTGCCTAAGTAAGTGGGATAAGTACTTTTATTTTTTTTCTTTATTTAAGAGGACATCCCTCATATCTTTTCATGCCATTTAAATAGTTATATTTCTTAAAAAAAATGAGAGCATAGATAAATATGTGATATGATTCTATAAACATACAAGTTTAAATAAAAGGAACAAATTAAACTCTGCGTGTACTATTCACAATCACATTTTTTTAACTTGTATATGTTGAATTTAAACTTGTATATGAGTAAAGTAATATATCACATATTGATATATGATATTAAAATTATTACTATTTTGCATGGTTGACATGTACAACAACAAACGGGAGGCGACCTCCTCGAGGGAAATAAAGGTTATCTCCTAACTCGCGTACATTTCCATTTTTTTAGAAATCACCTATGTACGAGGAGAAGTGAAGGAAAAGCACTAAAGCAGCATGGTGTTCCAATGAGTGGTCCTTAAATTAAAATCTTCTTTTTTAAAACGGGCAAAAGACTTACACACCAATATATTAGTGGAAAAGAGAGAGATTTGACGACTATGATCTACCGACAGGGGCGGGCCCAAGGGGTAGTCCAGGTAGGCCCAAGACTATCCTAAAATTTGGTCCAGAGACCCCTAGGTATTCATTTTTTTGGCCCATGAAAAAAGCTTGGCCCATCAAACAAAGAAAACCCTAACTCCTCTTCAGGATGGCCGTCTCCCCCGTGCGCGGCGTGCGCTCTCTCCCCTCCCACTCGACGGCGTCACGGCGACAGCGCTCCCGCGACGCGAGCCGGCAGGCCGGCCGCCGGCGCGACTCCGGCGCTCCTGCCCCCGCCACTCCTCCCGGCTGGCCGGCTCCTGCGGTCCCGCCAGGTGCACGCGCCCAGCCGTGGCGGCGGCGCCGCGCCGGCGCCCGCACGGACACGTCCTCTCTCCGTCCCGCCGCGCCTTCCGGCCATCGCCTGGTGGCCTCCCGCAGGCCACAGTCCTGCTCCCGTCGTCCCGGCGTCCCGCTCCCGGCTCCCGCCCCGCCCGAGCCCGACGGTCGACGCTGCCAGCGGCTAGCACAGCAGCGCCCAGTCGGCAGCCGCCCAGGCCGGCCGGCGGCCGGCGCCACTCCATCTCCGGCTCTTCGCCTCTCCGGACTCCGGTGAGCAATTCCACAGTCCCTCTCCCCCTTCTAGAATCTAGAGACTAGAGTTCTAGTAGTAAACCAACAGGCAGCACTAGTGTACTACCCCTTTATATAACAATTTTGCATTTTTTGATGGTTCATGGTTGTTAGGAGTCCAGGAGATTGAGGCATGGAGAAGTCAAGCATTGCGTTGCTTTTTCAAAAGCATGAAGCAAAAAAAATGCTTGTGAACTTCTTGCAAAAAAAAATTTACATTTTGATTTAGGTAATATTTAAACTTATTTGTTATTTTCTACTTGTATTGAACCATTTAGAGTTATATACTGTATCGTTTACCACATTATATATCGAATCATATTGTATTGCATTCGAATTTTTTTTGGCTAGGCCTACCCTGGGTTCAAATCCTGGGTCCGCCACTGTCTACTAACACATATCATGGAGGTTACATGGGAGAGGGAGGGCACACTAAATTAACTAGGGAAAAATAATCGAACTCCTGAGAACAACGAGGAAAGGAGAAAAAGGAGAAAGAGTAAGTTACTAAGTGCCAAGAAGATCTCCTAGGGATTGGGCAACACCGCAACCCAAAGCTTCTCTTATTGCACGATGCGATCAACCACCATCTCCGTCGTGGAAATAATCCCCTCTAAGACATGAGCATTTTTTCTAGCCACAGGTGCCAAGGAGGACGAGGGAGTTGAACCCCTTTCTTGTGTGATCCTACAGTTGCTGGCAAGAAGACTCCCACCAAACTGGAAGCAGAGCCTGTTGACAGGGTGATAGCCTCTTGACAGGGTGATAGGGAGGCTAACCTGGCCCGGTTGAACAGCAACTTGTGCTAAACTTGTGGTGCGAAGACACACTGCACCAAGATATGGTCACCTAGATATCTATTGATTATCTCTATACAAACAAATCATTAGTGTTTATTATTCCGATGATCAGACGGGCTAGAACAATCAGCAAAAGATAGGATATGTGCATTCTTCTGGTGCATATATATGCTTTCGGGCCTGTAAGATCACTAGCACTCTATATACCATGTGCATTTAAACTTATATACTCTGCGGCAAAATTAATTATACTACTCTACTTTAGGGGTGTTTGCCTTATCAATATATATTAAAGCAGAAAAGTAGTGAGAATATAGGGAGATGAGCTTCTTTTTCATATGGACAAACTGAATGGAAGAACTTTCTTTTCCTAGAGACAACTGAATAGAAGAAACTTCAAGTGCACCGTTTGCACTCTCCACTAATAAGAATCTAATCATTAAAAAAGAACAAAAACGACAATATGCACTTGGTAGTGCTGTTTTTTTTATCGCACATCAGTTTGCATGTTAATTTCGTGACCATATTTTTACTTCCTCCGTTCTCAAATAAAAGACGTTTCAAAATGCATACATTCGAATCTTGAATCTTAAATCACTACTATATATGTACAAGCGCTAAGATTTAATGTCGTAAAAATGACATTAATAGATTTGTCATAAATAATATTTTTACGGAGTCTTTTTTTTTGTTTTTTTATAAGCTTGTGATTAGAAAAATAGTTATCAGACATGTGCTGGAGAATGTGCTGAGGTAGTTCTTGATATGTTCCCATTGCTTTGTTATGTAGTTGGGTAATTTTACTATCCTTAATAAGGTATGAGGTACCATATTTTTTAGTGTGAAACTTGATATCTCCATATACTAGACATCTTGATATATCAAATTTTTAGTGTAAAATATTGGTATTACATGTACTTTCTTAACTATTATAAAATTTCTCTATATAGTTATGTGCTATGAGCATATGATATACATTGTCAAATGCATATATAGCACACAAGTGACAAATATGTTTATAGTGATACATACACTCTCCATCTCATAAAAAAACAAATCTAATACTGGATACAGATTCATAATAACATGATGTATCACATATTCACATTTTGTACTAGGCTTGTTGGTTTGTTTTTTAAATAGAGGGAGTAAGTAGAGTGAGCTATATGATCATTTAGTTGGTCGTACATACATACTGCATTATATTTCATTAACGTGATGCGGGCTACGATTATCATGTATGAATGTCAAAACTCCATTATATTTCTACGATTGTTTGTCCCTTTTTTATTTAGATGCTTTAATAATCGTCTGTACATAGGATAGCTTATAAGTTATTTCTAAGATCTCGTTTAGCATCGTTTATATTTTGTTACATATATTTTTCTTGCTTTACTTAAACGGTATGAACCAAACCTGCACTATTTGGTGTATAACTACGAGTGTCGGGATCAGCTATATGTTAAGTTAATATCAAATTATGATTGTTCAATTGAAAAACAAAAACATATTCGATTTATGTAGTCGTACATTTAAATCACAAAAGAATGATATACTAAATTATGAAATATATAAAATATTTACAAACATTAAATTTTCGTGTAGTTCCGATTAATCGCTGAACCTCCTTCCAATAACCATATTTCGGGCCAAGCCCATGTGTGAGCAGGCCGAACACTGGTTTCAAGCCCATCAACACCGCCTCCACGCCGACGCCCGCAACCAGCCCAACCCAGCCAAACCGCCAACTTAGAAAAACGGAGCAAAGCCGGCTAACTTACCTCTTCTTTAGGGTTTGTGCCTTCCCCCCAATCCCTCACAACGCAGCCGCCACAAAACCCTTCTCCCCGCGCGCGCGCCCTCCGCTCCTTCCTCCGCCCAGCTGCCCGCCGCTCGTTCGCCACCGCCACCGCCGCCGCCGCCGGTTGGTCCCATACTTCTCTTCTTCTGATCTTTCCGGCATAGTCGTAGCCGCGTGGTGGTCTCAGAAGTAAATCTCACCCCTGTTTCGACGAATTTCTCACGGTTTTGTCCTGCAGCTGCGTCGATCGAAGATGTATCTCCAGTACTACATCAACGAGAAGGGGGACAAGGTGTACACCACCAAGGTTCGTATAGGCTTTCCCCTTGCGCTTACTTGTTTGATTAGTGATTATTACTGTATGGTTTGCGATGTTAGTCCATGCCTGAGAGGTGTGTCTCCTCGTTGCGTTGCAGAAGGAATCTCCTCTCGGTGTTCCCACGCAGTCTGCTCACCCAGGTACGGTCACTTCCTCTGATTTCTTTATCTGCTCTTGGGTCATAAACCAATCTATGTGCTGTTTGTTTTAGTGTAAATAAGAACTTAACATTCGGTTTGTATGTCAATCTCATTGTTGGCCTAACTATAAACCCGCAAACAGTTTGAAGCATGAAAGGTGGTATACTTTTTGTTGAGATTTTATAGTCTCGTTTTGTCATGCATACCTTGAGCTATCAAAGGGTGCTTAGAATAGGACTGGCTAATTAGTGCTGGTCTGCTGGGAATTTTGCTGAGCACGAAGGCATTGCCTAACCAGAGTTTTGAATCTGCTGGTGTGCCTTATACTAGTATTTTGGGTTTTTGGAACTGATTCTCAGATGATGTACGGACATTTTTTACTAAGTAGAACAGTTTTTTTATTGTTCTTGACTTAGGCTGTGTTTAGTTCCACACCAAAATTGGAAGTTTGAAGAAATTGGAACAATGTGATGGAAAAGTTGGAAGTTTGTGTGTGTAGGAAAGTTCGATGTGATGGAAAAGTTGGAAGTTTGAAGAAAAAATTTGGAATCTACGTGTTTAGATTCCAAATTTTTTCTTCAAACTTTCAACTTTTCCCTCATATCAAATGTCTAGACACATGTATGGAGCATCAAATGTGGACAAAAAGAAAAACTAATTGCACACTCCAACTGTAAATTGCGAGACAAATCTTTTGAGCCTAATTACGTCATGATTAGCCATAAGTGCTACGATAACCCACATGTGCTAATGATGGATTAATTAGGCTCAAAAGATTTGTCTCGCAATTTACAGGCGGAATCTGTAATTTGTTTTGTTATTAGTCTACGTTTAATACTTCAAATGTGTGTCTGTATACGTCAAAAAAAAAACTGGCGATGAACTAAACACGGCCTTAGAAGATTGAGCTTAAAGAGGTCATAGCTCTTTGTTCACATAAGCCAATCTAGTGATTGCGTTCCTTGTTTAGTTTCATCAAGTGTTCTACATGTATTTTTGAGGGAAAAAAGATCTCTGAGGTTGTGCTTGTGTTGCAGCTCGCTTCTCTCCAGATGACAAGTACTCACGCCAGAGATACCTGTTGAAGAAGAGATTCGGGTTGCTGCCAACCCAAAAGCCAGCACCAAAGTACTGAAGGAGAAACCTCGGACCACCATGTTCCATGGATCCCTCGAAGCGAATCAGTCTTGCCTACCTCGCTATTTACCTGTATCACTCAAATGATCTGATGTATCGCGATGCTATCTACGAATCGTACTTCCTCTCGACCATATTAGTATGATCATGAAAGTCATTCAGGTGTCTTCGCATGTTCTGAACTGTTGGCATGATTATAATCTAAAAAGTATGAATCTAGACTGTTACTAGTATATTGTCACCTTTGTGCTATTAGGAAATCATATGGTGGTTAGCTGATAAAGCAAGGAAGCAATAACTGCCATTTTATTCAACTGAGCAATAACTGAACACTCGTGAGTTGCTACTTTGCTTTCATGTATAGTACTGGTCATAATTTTAAATGATGGCTATATGTCGGATAAGGCATTCTGATAGCTCGCATGGCTTACGCGGCCATTGTGTCCAACGGCTAATCAGTGATGCCGGTGGTGGCGGCGTCGCTCTTGGCTTCGGTAATGATTGTAGCAGATGCTATCGCCGGTGAGGGATCGAGCTGGCGGAGCAATGGACTGTTGATACCAGAGCTGGAGCACACGGTGACGGACTGTCGTGCCAGCACAAATCCGCATAACCACAGAACGTTTCACTGACACTGAGGAACTCTCCCTGCTGATGGACCTTTCCTTTCTCATCCATGATCCATCAACTATCCCATTTTATGAAATGACCTCGTCTGATTCCTTTTCAATGAGCATTTATTCATTACCGTGCTTGAACCCACATTACTTTGCAATTCATGGAACTGGAACTGAGATTTCGCAAATTGCATTCATGGATGTGCGAATGGAACTGAAGTTTGCATTCATCATGAAAATTATGATGATGATCAGTCTGCTTCCTAGATCAGAAACTGTGGTATTATCTGTGTGTGTGCAGACAATTTAGAAGAGAAGACCGCAGAGATACAATAGATGAACATGACAAAGTACAGCTACAAAATATATAGTCGACATTTGTCACGAATATACATGGATTAGCAGTAAAGTTTTTGATAGGGGCAAAATCAATATTGAAGATGAAAGTGGGGGGAAAAACGAAATTGTCCTTAGAAAGGGACAATTTCCTAGAAATATTGGCACTACTCAGAACAGTACGGTAGGTCAGGTCGCTAGTGTCCTTGTTTTCAATGGTGCTCGCAAACTTCTGTGATAGAACACAAAGTTCAAACATGTACAACCTCCAAAATCGACTTCTGTGGTAGAACACGATGTTCAAACATGGACAGCCTCCAACATCGAGAAAATGGAAGTAAAAACGTGTCTAAGAAGGAGCACTGAGTAAAGTCCTATAAGATTCTGAAACAAGATGGTTACGATCTAGACTGGCCTATGCATCACTAACTAGCATAATTACATCTCACCTTCAAAGATGATTTTCTCCAAAACGTCCATAGTAACAGTGATGGATATGCCACAAGTTCCTTGGGGGACAAAAAGGATGTATTGTGTGTGAGCGAGTGGATGTATTGCCTAGTTAAAAGCAGAAGAAATGTATTGCCTACATCTAATGAGTTGCAAAGTGAGCAGTAATCATCTGCACTCTATTTTACATATAGGAAAACCTTTCAAACTACTCTGGAGAAGAAACCATCTCTACCTCCCTGGAGGATGGATCATCATCTTCATCTTCTGAGATATCATCTCCAGTGCTGGTTATATCTGTATAGTTTGCCTGTCTAACAAATTGCCCTCGCACCCTCGGCCTTGTTTCAGCAAGTTTCTTCCTATTCACGTACCTCACCTTCTTGTCAAAACAACGTTCCTTCCTTTTCAGCCTGAATTTGGCAAGTGCTGCAGCTCTCCGTTCAGACCGACTACATGTTTCCTCGGGCATTGGTGTGCTTGATGCCTGTGGCCACATATTTTGTGTTGGCAGTTGATTTGATTGAATGCTCATACCAGCAGGATTATACTGAAATGGTGGCATCATAGATACACCATGACATTGGGGATAAACATTATACTGAGGGAGCAACGTTTGTGGTGTATGCACTTGAGCGTTGTTTATGTTCCCTTGGAAATTTTGCACCGGAGGATGTGTCATACCGTGGTCCATCATCCCTGGGTAATAAAAGGGAAAATGATATACAGGAGGAGTTCCTGAAGCATCATTTTGGCCTTCATTGCTTCGCTCCAGATGCAAGTTAGAGGAAGAAAAGCATACCACAGGGTATTGCACTGGCATCTCAAAGGCTTCTTTATCCCGAATATTTACATCAGTGCCAGTGTCACTTCTGTCAGTTGTACTAGAGAAATTACCCCTGTGATCCGAAGAGTCTAACCGATTTCCACCTTTTTGTAGTTCGCTGTCAAATGAGCTGGTAGTTGGGGTGCTTGACTTAACATAAGCTAGAAAAGCAGAAGACTCAGCAACCCTCAAGTTAGTCTTTATTGGACGTGAAAACATTACTCCGGGAGATGCTGGCATAAAAGCAAAGGCATAAACCTTAGAAACTATTCTTCAATTGGGGGATCTGCTAAATCAGCTAAAGGAAATGGTTTAAGGCTCAAGATACTTACAAGCTTGGTCGCCGCCTTCAGTAGAGACTAGTAAACCCTCTGGTGTGCCTTTTTGTTTAGGCTCAGCATCAGAAGGATTAGACTGCAAACATATCAAGAAATGCAAGGGCATTTAACAAGTAGACTGATGCAAAAAATTCAGCATCTTATCATCATCAATTGAACATATGAGGCAAAAAGGCATGCTCTAGCATCTAAACAGAACACAAAGGTAGAAAGATACTAAATAGAGAAGTAGTATGTTGGACAGCAAAATATAAAAGGATAACTAGTACTTGATTGGTTACCTCATATTCATGTTGATTCGAGGTGCTTGTTTCTTGATTAATGTTTTCTTTTGGCTTATCATCTGTGTCATCCGAGAGAAGAGTGGTGCTGTTGGTATTGGCGTCACTAGGTTCCGATAACGCCAACTCGAAATTGTCATTGAAGAAGTTTTTCTCCGACAAACCAAGCTGCCAACACCAACATTCAACTTAAGATCAACTCATACACGCTACAGCAACGCCACAGCCATCTCAGCTTAGAGCATGCTTTTCAACACAGAATTTGAAGATGAATCAACATAGTCCCCTTTACCATCCGCCTTCGCCGCCACACATGGGTCCAGAGGTTCAGCAGCTCGTTCATGCGCAGTGGCTTGACCAGGTACTCGGCTGCCCCGAGACGCAAGCACTTGACAACAACAGAGACCTCGTCTCTGTTGGACATCACTGCATAATTCGCATCAAAGATGAGGATGGTCACTACAACAACCCTACGAGCATGGGCATCAGAGGAATAGGAGGACAGCTTACTTATGATGGGGATGTGGCGCAATTCCTTGTTCCTGGCGATGTATTTGAGCATCTTGAAGCACTTGGAGACGGGCAGATCGACCTCGGCCAAGATGATGTCGATCTCCCCCGCCTCGCAGTTGAGTACGTTGATCACCTGCCTCGGAGACTTGGCGCAAGTCACTGAAACAAAAACAAAGACGTATCATTCCATGCGAGAAGGTGTGATAGAACTGCTAATTCATCTACTAAAGCAATCTTAATCCTTAATTATAAGAGCAAACCAAATACTAAGCAGACAAAGCTGAACTGACCTTGGTATGAGCAGTTGCAGAGGAGGCGGAGCACCTCCCGTGAGCTACTTGGGTCGCTGTCGCAGAGCAGAATCCTCACCTTGCTCCGGTCCACGAACTGCTGCCCTCCCCCTACCGCCGCCCCGCCGCCAACGCGATCCCCCTCGCCGGCGCCCACCATACCCCGACCCGCACGGATTCCCCCCCTAGCCACTTGTCACCAGCTGCCGACGCGTCCGAATCAGCACGAACAGCACAGCAGCCAGCAGCAGCTGCCGGCGCCTAGACTAGACGACGCAGGAGGACGAAGCGGTTGTTGGATCTGCGGGCGGCGCCTCCTCCTCCATATCCCGTGCCGTCGCCAGTAGTATCGCCCCCAGAGGCTAAGCAGTGTGCTACCGCCGCCACCCGCCGCCGACGCCGGCGGCGTCCTCCTCCGCCGCGCGTTGCGGTCCGGCCCGCACCATTATCCGCGCCTAATCTATTCAGGAGGCGGCGGCGGTGGTGGTGGCGGCGTTGGTGTCCGCTCTACTGGCACAGGATATTTTCCTCCCCCTACCTTTTGCTTTCCTCTCTCGGTGGGGCACGCGGCTCGGCTCGGCTCGGCTCGGCGAGAGATGAAAGAAAGAAGAAAAGGCCTCGTCACGCCGCGCCGGGGCGGTGTAAAAATAAACGAAACGGCTCGTCGCGAGCGGTTTGTGTCGCGTACTCGCGTCGCGCGGTGCGGGTGTGCGTGTGCGTGTGCCGGTGTCAATGGATTCGTCACGGGACGGGACGGGACGAGCCGCGAGCCGCGGCCCCGTGGGTGGGAGGGCCAGGTTGGATGGAGGGGAAGAGCCGGGCGTGGTTAAGCCAGATGGGCCCGGCCTGGCGGCGTGTGATTTCGGTGAGAAAATATCTACGCCTACCTGGCACGGAAATATCTTAATCGCGGATGCGATTAGGGGCGGCGGGCGTGGTGGGGCCGTGGCCGTGCGATACGGGAGCCGCCACGCGCGCGAGCTGGGGGCCAGCGAACGAACGCCAGGGAGACGCGCTACTGTAGTAGTACTGTGGAAACGACGACGCGAGAGGCGGAGGGAGGTGGTGCCGTGGTGGTGCCGTGGGAGTGGGAGCGCCACGCCCACGTACGTGCGGCGGCGTCCACGGTGGCCGCGTCCCCGCCCTCCGTTGCGGATCACGACGAAAGCCGCGCCAGCCCACCGCGGACGTGCCAAGGCGGAGAAAAATCCAGAGGGAAACGCGGCTCTCACGTTTTCACGTAGTACAGACCTTGATGGGCAGCATGGCGATACGGTGGTGGCTGGGCTGATGAGTAAAAGATTTTGAGCTACCGGACGAGACGAGTGGCCGGTAGAGAGCAGCAGCTGGATGGGGGGTGTTTTTTTTTTCCCCGTGTTGGCAACTTGGGATGCCCATTGCCACTACGCCGATCCGGAGAGCGACTGGTCGTGGACTTGTGGTGGCGGCTCGTGGCGCCGGCCTAGCGCTTTTTCTGTAGCTTTGCTTTTCTTGTTTGCCACTGGCGATGTACGTGGTGGCCTCCGGGCTCCGGCAGCAAATCAGCGATGCTGCAAAATGGGTTTAGCGTTAACAGCGCTGTCGTTTGTTTACTGATCTGTTACCAGCGCTGTAATTCAGTAATTCAGCAGAATGGTAAACACAACCAAGATTTTTGATTGCAGCTCTGAACTATGGCCAGGCAAAACAATCATTTTGACGAAGGGTGTTTCCTCCAGTTCACTGGCTGTATTTCTTCCACCGAGAGGAGTGGATGGTTGGTATCAGTGACGACACAACAACATCTCGATCTCAAAAATCTGGAGGCAGGCTGGCAGCCAGTAGCAGGAGCTTGGAGTGCCGATGTCATCAGTCTCATTCACAGGACGCACTAATCATATTTATTGCTACCAATGAAATCATACAAAATGAGTTATTAGCTAGAGTAGTGCTGCATACAGGCTTGAAAGTCACCCAAAGCTACTACTATCAGCAATAAGTTGTTCTGACAGTGGAAGTCCCCATATATATTCGCCTTTATTCTATGACATTGACACACCACAAACACGTTTTGGCAAAGGTATTTATCTACAGGGAAGGAGTGGCGATTGCTCCTGCCTCCGTCAGCAGAGGGACCAAGTTCCCTCCTTTGTGCATCGCCATGGTATCTGTTTGAAAGACATCAATGAAGATCGACGTTAAAATAGTGTAGAAAAACTCTGGCCTAAGTGACCCTTGTTCTAGCGATTTTCTTGTTCAGAAAAAAGTTAAACAGCGATAAAAATGCATGAAAATGTTGTTGGTCCGATGACATTAGTATCACAAGTTCACGACAAATTAAGAACAAGGAACTCACCGTCACAGCCACCAATATGTTTCCCTTTAATGAAGACACAAGGAACAGTTCTCTGTCCAGTCCAATCGGCAAGAGCTGACTGCAGCTCAGACCCATCACCTTCGTATTATGAGGATGAATTAGTTCAATGATAAATTACAATGTATGAACTAAAGAATAGCCAGGACATTCTAAAATTGACTCATGTAATAATATATGATCTTTTTTCTACACTGTTTTAACGTCGATCTAGTCCTCCCTACTGAGTGTTGATGTATCAGAGCTATAAGTGGGTCCCTGTAGTTTCTTCTCTGTTCGGTTGTTTAGTTCTCTTTTATGCACTATTTGTCAGAATTTTGCAAATGCATTTCTCTTTTTTTTTCTTCTCTTTAAATAACCGGCCGGTTTCTTTCAAAAGAGTGAAGTTTACAGCCATTTTCAGCATTTCAATTTGATTAAACTCATTATTGCAACCAGTTTTGCTCTAAACTCAACTACAATAAATCCAATGATATCTAAAATAGATGCAGCACGGCGGAGTAATATGTTGTATATAGATTGGAGAGCAAAGAAGACGAAATTTAGCATATGTTAGTATGTACAATAAAAATAACCAGAAGAAAGAAAATAACAGAAAAAAAAATAATCCACTCACTTTCCACATCCAATTCAACAGCCTTGTAACTTGCTGCCAGCTCTGCCAGCAATCGCTTCACTCGGGCGCAGAAAGGGCAATAAGTCTTGCTATGGCCAGTCCAGGAAGAGGAATGACACGAAGAAAGATCAAAATTGGAGTTTAGGACAGCATAGGTCACAATTTTGCAGAAGTAGGGAGATAATCATGTTAAACTCTGTTTTATATGATTGCTTGATTGGTTTTAATTTGCATGATGTAATATGGTTGTATACAGACAAAAGGTAACAATTATTTCTCATTTCTTTCAGAAGCTACTTAAAAGTTGAGCGCATATCAAATCAACTCGTTCCACATTATACCTGTGCATTCCTTACAAACAAAATATTTCGATTCCATCATCAGCAGACAACGACGTGATACATTGGTAACATTGCTACACCAACTAATTGGTATGCATTGGCTGGTAACTTGCATGAATATGGTCACTATTTAGCTCCAGAAAGTTCAGCAAAATAAATTTATAGCAAAAGGAACATCTTTGGTATTGACCTTTTTCATGTGCTATCAGCTTAGTGATTATCACGAAATTTAAGCACAAATTCAGCAGAGGTTTATCATCCTTGCTGCTACATCATACACGCGAGTGAATAAAAAAAGGAAAAGGTGTGAGAGAGACCTGAAGACGACGACGGGGGAGGAGGCGACGATCTCCTTGGCCTTGTCGAGCGCCATGACCGGCTTGCTGGGCTCCTCTAGCTGCTCGGAGTCGGAGGGGCGCGAGGAAGACGAAGACGACTGTGCCATCCCCATGATGCCCGACCTCCGTTTTATGGCCGGGCAGAAGGAGGCTGGGTGATTTATTTACTTATTTTTATCTGCGTTTCCGCGGCAGAGTCGAACGCAAGCACGTCAAGCTAGCCACGATTTCGAACGCAAGGGGGATCTTTTATGGCCAGTACCGTGTTTGCCTATTTGGGTTCTTTCAAAAAAGACCAACTTTGAATTGGATATTTGGAAGAATCGTTGCTTTGTTGAAGGGGCTTGCCTTGAGGAATGGCAGGCGCCAGCACTGACGCAGCTACGAAACCAGGATGCCAAAACTGGTTTTTAGTCGTTCAAATGTGAGGCGAAATATACGGCGAAAGGCGATACTAGTATTTTAGTTTTTCGATTATACGGCGAAGAAAGGTGAGTACTACGTAGTACTTCTTCCATCCCATAATAAAAGAGATTTTAAGTTTTTATTTGTATTGTTTAACCACTCGTCTTATTCAAAAAAATTTAAAATTATTATTTATTTTTTTTGACTTACTTTATTATCCAAAGTACTTCAAGCATAATTTTTTATTTTTATATTTACAAAAAAATTTTTGAATAAAACGAGTGGTCAAATAGTACAAACAAAAACTTAAAATCCTTTATATTAGGACGGAGGGAGTAGTAGTTTATTAGCTGTTCAAACTTCAAACAAACGGCAAAACAGATAGTCGCCGTGCCTGGTTTTTCTTTTCTTTAGGCACAGCATTTGACTTTACAGAGAACCGGCGAGATCAGATGAGCGAACGTGCCTACGGAGTACCTATTAGGCCCATATTCAGAGGCGAGGGGCCGCGACGAATGAGATGAGCGAACGTGTCTACCTGTTAGGCCCATATACAGAGGCGAGGGGTCGCGACGAATGAGATGAGCAAACATGTCTACCTGTTAGGCCCATATAGAGGCCGAGGCCCGGTAAAGAGAGCCAGGCATGAGGCCCACAGCGGCCCAGACAATTTTAGTACTTTTCCTACCGACTGACGAATCCCTTCTTCCAAAAGCTTAAACCTCGTGCTTTTCAGAGGTTAGATGGAATGTAGGATTGAGCCCAACCAGGTGAGTCTCTTCGTCTTCTCAGTGCCAAATATAGCCTATATGAACGTCTCCTCAATGCCAAATATAGCCCACATGAACACATTTGCCCATCTCCACACACATCACACATTTATTCAGCCCATCAATCTATATAAAAATAGTATGCTACCTAAATTATCTCCAAATTCTAGATAGGGCTGTTAAAAAAAATTTCTCCAAAAAAGCTAATTGTTATTTATTTCTTCTATTTCTTCTTAAGATTGTCTTCTATTTCTCTATTTCTTCTTGAGATTGTACCTCCTGTCATGTTAATCAATTTGTTAATCCCGCAGCATCGCGGGGCATTCTCTAGTAGAATTAATGATTTACATTTTTTTTTTTGAAAAACGAGAAGATTTTTTCGGAGGCCATCTCCAATTCTCCATTCCAGGAACGTGCAGTTTCCGCGGTTCATTCGTTAAGATCAATATTTTCTGTACGCATGTTTTTGTTCCAAGACAATTTTAGAAGAATACTTCAAATAGTAGTACTAAAAAAGCGAGTGTAGATGTAGTTCCTCGACGTCCAATCGCATCAACAAATTCCGCGCCGGATAGCGAGAGGAACACATTGCTTTTGCTTCACATCTCACCATTGCCCACGAACCAAAAATTCATCCGAAGGCACGATTAGATCTGAGAGAAGCCGAGACACAAACTGGCAAAAATCGACGACGCAAAAGTAAATCGAACCGAAGCTAAAAATCCTATTGGTTGATCATGAGCGACAACTCAGTCCCTTAGATGTTCTTTGACCATGCGATCATCTCCGCAGGAGTCATTACAGGTCTGTAGGACTCATCACCGTTGCTAGCGACCAACAGATCGAATCAAATTGTAACGAAGATCTACATAAAGAACAACAACAAAAAATTGATTTTATGGCGACTATTGTTTCGAGGGGTGTTCGGATGTATGTAACAGCCGCCGAGTGCCCTGCGGCGAGACGCATCCGAGGGCACGATTGGAAGGCGAGCTCAGGATACAACAGGGCGATTTTGCTTCAAGGGAACGAGTCGATTGGGAACCGATTAGAGACTAATCCTCCCAATGACCAGATGACGAAGCACGAACACAATCACCAGATTCACCACAAATCCAAAAACAAACGAATCGAACACAGACGAGACGAGCAAAAACGAAAAGAGAAACGAAGGATCGAACACTGAAGGCTTCTGCGGCGGCGATGGTATCCTTCGGTGGAGGGGGGTGGACGCATTTTATAGGCTCGGGCGTTGTCAGATGCTCGCGGAGCAAACCCTAATGGGCCGGAGAGAGTAGTGGACCTGGGAGTGAGTTCATGGGCTGGAAATTCGATGTTAATAGCCTGTGTTGGATAATTTTGTAGTTGTGTCTAACTATATTTCGCCTACGATTTGCAAGAAAAATGCACAATGAACGAACAAACATGTGCTTGCAAAATTTTGGCAACCTTACAAATAGGTGCCAAAGTTTTGGAGCTAGCATGATTTTGGGCAAGTTTGCCAGACATACCTATGACTTTCTATGGTAGTCTGTATAAATGCCTGCAGTTGATCAAACTTCACACAACCAAGAGTGAACATGTTTGGTAGTCTGTGCCTTGAGGAAAGAAATTCAGTTCCAGTTTAACTGGACAGCACAAGATAATCAACTTTGTTTTCAGTGGTTTGCGAGTGGATAGGTCGTGCGTGATCAGGATCAAATGATCAAATCTCACTTTTATATCACAGCAAATTTGCAACCAGTGGCATCACCTCATGCATATGCCTCCAGACATGGACGTTTATTAGAGCCAGAGAAACAGCTAACATGTAACAGACAATTCAGATAATATATGCTGCCTATCAAGTTCTCTTACAAAAAAGATGTAGCTAAATAATAGTCAACATGCAGCAGACGATGAAGCTACATGCACTAAGATCAGTTCTTGTTTTCACCATAAGAAAAGCATAACTGCAAAGATGCTCTGCGTTCTTGCAAAACACAAACAATGCCTAGAGCATCCATAAGATCACTTCTTGTTTTCACTAGTCTCTGCTGAAGTGGAGGATGCCGATGACGCTGTGATGTCCCTGGCACATTGTGACACGTACGGCTTCAACTGCAGTCATTTATACAGGAAATTTATTACTATACACACAACCATAATTGAAAAGGGAAAAAAAACAGGAACAAGATGATTCCTTGGTCACTCATACCACATAAAGAAGAATTCCATGTTATACCATTCATGATCAATTTATCTGTCTTGCCTGAGTTAAACGTTTCAACAGTAATGGATTATGGAGCATTCAACTCATTGCCCAAGGAATGAAGTCATCATCTTTTCAGATAAAATTTGGACATGGCAAGTTATTTCCATCATATTTCTTAAGAAGGACCTCAAACAGAACTGAGAGCTTTGATTATGTTATATTAGCTATTTTCTGTTTGTTAGGTGCCATTAAGTTACTTTTAAAAGTTTGCCCAGCAAGTTCAGACTGGAATTAACCAGAGAAGCAGTGGACACTAAACCGTGGCAGTATGCTAATTACCTTGAAATCAGTCAAGTCAGGGACCACAAATCTTGGCAACTTCTCATCCACCATAACATATCCACCTGCAGAATTAATCAATATTTCGAAAATTAGACTAAGCAAGTAGGTTGCTTTACTCATGAAAGAAAAGGGATGGACATAGATAACGACAATCAGTTGAATGATCATATAATAGTTAGTACAAATGTCATTTGAATCAAGTATCAAGTAAATCAGGAATACAATGGAGAAGTATCCGTCCCTTGCACAAAACAATCAAACTAATCAATGATAACTAAAATTTAAACATGTCCGTGCTCCAAACAAGAATTGCATAGAAAGGTCAAGGCTAAGTTATAGCTAAGAGCAAATATCCACTGATGGATAAGTCTTTGCGTTATCCTGTAATTTGTTACCCATAATCATCTAGCACTGGTAAAACTGTACTTGCATACAGATATGTTTGGGCTTCTTTGTTGAATACTGCCTACATATTTTCAAGGTGAACTGAATACCACCAGACTCTGCTCTTCAATATTTTATGTTTGGGCCTCTTTGTTGAATACTGCCTACATATTTTCAAGGTGAACTGAATACCACCAGACTCTGCTCTTCAATATTTTTCTTTCTGGCAGACTAACAAACAGGCTGTTCGGATCTCTTTGCTGCGGTTGTGTGGGCTGCGGCTGCAAGCCAATGCAATAGTGCTTTGCACCTTGCCATGGCTGCAGCGTAGCCACAGTACAGCTGCAGCCATGATAGCACCAAGATTTACTATGTTCTGTAGGATGATTATATACCATACAAATTAAAATACCATTATGTAACTATGATAGATAGAGCATTTTTCAATGTGTCCATGAGAAATTTCTGCTTGGCTGAACCACCAGTTGAAATGGACCTGTTGAATTGAAATGTTATTTGCTACTCACTAGATCTTTAATGCCTTATTAAACTTTGGTTACTCACACCTTTTATTGAAGCGATATTTGACATTATTGAAAGCACCTCCCAAATTACAGTAAGCAGACAATTACTTGCACGGTTGACTCAGATAAATCCTGGAACAAAACGATTCACATAAAGAACATCCCTTCCTAGGTTCTTCCAGATTTCCGGTTGGGCAAATAGTGTGGTGACTAGCAACTGTCACCATTTCATTCTCCATCAACGTTCGGTTTAATTAAACTATCCGGTTCGAAATCACAAAATTTCTCAGCTAAGCAAAACCTGGTCGCAATCTTATATGCGATTATACACAAAGAGAGCATGCTTGAGCAATACAGACGACTAGAATCAGATCACAGAGCGTCCCGCAAGGCATTACCTTTGCGGGTGTGGAACCCGGTGGGCTTGCAGTTCTTCCCCTTGTAGTAATCCCGAGGCGCCCTCTTGGAGGAGAGGATGCCGAGCGAGGACAGCCGCTTACGCCGCATCGACCTTCCGAGCGAGCTCAGTATCAGTCCCAGCGGCATATCCTCCTCCTCCTTTCTGATGATTCCTGCACACCCACAGAAGGGAAAATCAGCACGATGAGGTGGAGATAGCGCCTCGCCGGCGTACAGGGCAACGCGAGGGGCACACCCGAGCAGCGAGGGGTGGACCGGATGCGGAGACGAGGGAGGTCCGGTGGTTTGCTTGAGAAGGGAGGAGCGGAGGAGGAATACGGCGGCGGCGGCGGCGGTGGGGGGGCGTTTCGCGTATGCGTACGAGGGGGAGAAGGCTCGTAGCGGTGGACGGCCAGGATGAGTACATCGGAGAATGGACGGTCGATATAACTTTGATGATCAAGGACAATTAAACGTCTGAACTTCATAGAATTTTCGTGTGGACAAAAAAAAAAGGATCTGTCCATAATGACCACTGCTTAACAGAAATTTTGTAGGATTTTTGTACGAATGAATCGTTAATATTCGAGGTTCACAGGCACTATGGTATTGATGTGAGGCTTAGATTAAGTGTAGCCGTAGTAACATTTATAAGTAAAAAAAGAAGTTCTCATTCTGTTGTACGTATAGTATTTCTTAATAAGCCAAAACAATTTATTAATAAATAATAATTAATTTATAGGTAAGGTTTTTATATATATGTTTGTGACTTAAAAACCAATACTGAAAAATAAACTACGTTGAAAATATCTTACAATCAACTTCAAAATCAAGTTTGACAAAAATAAATTTCAGCTTTTGCTTTGGTTTGTTAGGGTAACCAATGGGACTCATAGTGTTTTTTTCCTTTTTGAAGTTTGTAGCTTCTCCCGAAAAGACTACGCGTCAGGCTCGGGAGCCCTTTGTCTCTCCCCACCCCATCTATTAAGGGCATTCACAGTGCACTGAGGTGGCATTCTGCCCCAACCATCCACGTCAGATATTCCTTCCCATATATGTGCGTGGCGTTCCCAACCGAAGTCCGCGGAGCCAAACTAAGTTACCCGTTCTTCGTCATAACTTGCAGCGAGGGTGGAGCGGCGCGTTGGGAGAGGCCGTAGCCCCATGCGATGCCCCCACATCCCGTGCGAAGTGGCGACGGTCGCCGGCGAGGCCGCCGCCCCGACCAGCTGCGTCATCCCCTAAGCGGTGCAGCTTGCTAGATCCGGCGAACCCGAGGCTGGATCTGGTGAGCTCGACGGGGTGGCGGTGGCGGCTAAGCGAGGAGAAGGAAGATGGCGGCGGCGACAGCCAAGCGAGGAGAAGAAAGATGGTGGTGGCAGCGGCCTAGGGAGGAAAGGGATATGGTGGTGGCGGCGGCAACTTAACCTCGCTGTTGTCGCCATTCCGCGCCACCAAGGACCACAGCAGCGGCAGCTCGACGGAGAGGGCCACACCGCCAGATCCACTCCACCAAGCTCCCGCCGTGCCCCCGTCAGCGCCGTCTCCCGCTCGCGCCCGCCGATGGGAGGAGAGACGTAGCCCTGCCGTCCACCTATTTGATGGTATTTTGGCTATTATATGTGTACACAAGACTTACTCATGATGGACAAAGCAAACAAGCAGTTTGTAAGTTGGCTAGCTTATCATTTCTACGCAATGCTCGGCCATGTATATACACGCAAATACATGCATGCACAGGCAGCTGGGAATATATATACTTGGATTAGTATATGTGCATGTATAATTAACCAATAACTAGCCGTGTGAAGATTGGCTGGTGAGGCAATCACGTGCATGCATGCATGTACTACAGTAGACGGTCGTATGTGTGTGCATGCCTGGGTGATTAAGCAACCTATGCATATCCGAGTGATTAATCATAGGCTCGGCCCATGGCCGAAGACGGTAGCTGCCTACGCGCCAAGATTTCAGAAGTTAATATGCGGAAGAGATAAAACCAGATGAATTAAGAGATAACCAACAAACCAATTGATTTTATCTCTATAACAAACTTGATCTAGTTAGTTACTTCGCGCGAGCGCTGGCGAGGCGCTTATCACCGGACTGTGGCCCAGCAGCAGAGAAACAAAGCGAATTACAAATTAGATATTTGACGCCAGGAGAAGCTAAGAGATAAAATCAAAGAAGGATATGAACAAATAACAAACTGATCGATCAAGCCTTATCTGCAACGAACTTGACGCGGAGGAAACGGCGCGCGGACGCGGCGAGCACCGACCTCAGACCCCTATATAAGGCGTCGACCCCTCGGTAGCCAGGGGCATTCACGAACTCATCCACACATTCATTCACCAACGCATCTAGCATCCACAAGCCACCCATCATCAACGCATCTACCCATCCAGCATCAACACATCCATCCATCAACTCTCATCGGCGATCCATCCATCGACGACACGCACCGGCGGCGGCGAGCGACTTCGGCCGGAGTCCCGGCGTCCGGCAGGAGAGGGCGCGCGCGGTGATCCGATCATTAGCAAGCGCAGGAGAGGAGCTTGATGGCTAGTCCAGGTAAAAGCTAGCAAGATTGTTTCGTTTTCTTTCATCTACAGCACGCACACATCCATGCATAGGGATCCATCTACACGTATCGTCGTCGCCGGGGAAGTCGCGGTGGCCGATTCATCTACGCGTCACAGAAGCCTCATCGATGCCGGTGTCTGTTCAAGCCGACGCAGTGCTACTTGTCCCTGGACTCGACGCTGCTAATTCAAGCCGCTGGTGATGCATCTACCCGAAGCTGCGACCTCGCCGAGATACCAGACATCCTTGATTTGCAAGCTTCACCGCACTGGAGCGGGCTAACCATGGAGGAGGTCGTCGGGAAGCCGCCCTGCCGGAGCGCGCCGAGGATCGGCGGAGCTGCCGCCGACTGCCAAGACTTCTATCAGTTCTCATGCCGGAGGTCAAGCATCATGCATGGCGTCGAAACCAGCGGATGACGATGGAGGCAAGTATGGCTGCAGTACAGAGGAAGGACGACGGGAGGACGGCGAGCCAGTGCTGTTGGATGGCAACAAGCTAGCTAATGCATGTTGATTAAGTTAATTATTGTGGCAACGTGGCCAACCAATCGGAGGACGACATGTCATCGCTGCTACAGTGCCATGCACAAACCAATGCGTGGGCTGAAGAAGTCCTGTTGGTTTTTCTTATTTGTCCCAAATGAGATGCCGAGCTTTGATTAAATCCGGCCACCGTCTACATCAACCATCTTCAATAATTCCTCCCTGATTCTTCTCTAATCTAATCTCGACGCAACTGCTGTGACGTCAAGTCGTTCAAGCTACGCAACTCCATGCATGTCTTCACCAACAATCTACATCGACACGTTGTTCAAGACCGACAAGGCTAGACGACGGAGGGTGGGCGACCAACACTGGCGCACGGACCGACGAGGCCATGGATCGCTGCCGGCGCTCACACACACACACACACATCTACATCATCATCACAACCATGCATGGAGAATGCGAAGTGAAGACGACGAGACGACCACAAGCAGCTTAATCGGAGGTTCTCTTGCAGGCCTAGACCTGCGGAGGTAATTAACTGGGAGCTTCTCGAGGCCCCAGGAACCAGGAGACCACATCGCACAAGTCAGATCTGTCCAATGACAGATTATGGAGCGCGCATACATATATATTACATTGGGAATTTGTATTTATGATCTTTTAAGATTAATAAAGAGCATGTTTCCTATGTTTTGTTTACATTGTGTATTCAGGTACACTGGCACGCCCACACATATATGTATCTCTAAACAAACGAGATCTCAGATGTTATTTTCCACCCTAAACACCACCGTAGCTCCGCTTGGATCCGAGTCCATCGCCGGGAACGCTCCGTGCCGACGCCTCATTTCCTACGCGATAGAAAAGGCGATGTGATGAAAAGCAGAGTGAAAAGTAAAGGGGGATAGAGAGAGAAATAGAGAGAGTGGGGGGACCCACCATGAGTGACCTCCACTGTAGAGCATGTAGCTAATACCGTTCCTGGCCTTGGTGGCAAGCGAGGTTCGGCGAAAATGTGTGGCACACTGTTACTGCCCTAAATGCAGTAGACTAGTACTACTACTCGATACAAAAAGTATGCATCTTTCCTGTCTACGTGTCTATCTCTTTGTTTCTCTTATGAATAAATGGTCTACTCCATGCATGCAAGAAGGAGGACATGCAACATAAATAAATTTTAAATTGATTTTTCTACTAAACTATTTATTATATATACTATCTAATTACTCCTACATTGTTATACTCCTTACAAGTAAATTTTCAAAACAAAATCTCAAATGATTATTTTTATCAAATATATGATTATATTCCTAATTGAAACATTTTTATACCATACAAGAAAAATAGTTGTAACTACTAACATCGTAAGATACTGAGTGAAACACACCAAGAACACCACGTGCAACATTTACACATTAACTAGTGGAACATTAGAACATATTTATTGAAACATCCTAATAATACATCGTGCAACGAATTAAAAAATACATACTGAAAAAAAAGTTGAATGTGCAACATAGTCAAATACAAATTGAAACATTTGTTTCTCACGCATGAAACATCTATTTTTAATGGTGTGAAACATGTATATTGTTTTTATCGGAATGCAACCATACGAAATATTGTTATCAAAATTTAATTGCAACGAATAAATGGTGCAATTAAATCGTAGATTTGATAAATATATTAGTAAAAAATATTGTTTTACAACTTAATAGATACTACTAGTCGATTTTGTGCATTCATGTGTAGAGGGTGTATATAGAGAGAGGGGCACATGGGGAGAGAGGGAGGGACGCACGGTGAGAGTGAGAGGCTAAGAGCGCAGTCCTTGCATGCAATGGCGTTGCGTCCGATACTTCCATGCGTGTGTCGGGCACCCGATGCTAAGCATTGTTCAACTTCCCAATTATATATTCTATATTCGAGTGTAACATTTGCCATTTGATCTATATCTAACAGGATTACTATAACCCAATGCAACATTAAGGCAAAAGCTTTGTCTTGTTGAGAACACATACAACTCTGACGTTGTGGCAGGTTCCTGAGCAAGGTTACAACAACATGGACCTAGCCTATAGCTAAGGCTTGGGGCGACCTGTGGTGCTCTAACAGTAAGATAACCTATATACGATGAAAATTTGTTGTGGCCCATGGGCTTTTGACACCAGCCCCAGGCCATGACCTAGGGTGTTAGGGGCCTGGGTCCGCCTCTAGTGGCAGTTTTGCTTCGTTCCAAATGTTTTCTTCATTTGAAGCTGTATGAATGTGTTGTTCACTTGTTCAGCTTCCCTCATGTAAGTATGCAACTGCACATTCTTTGAGAGAATTCAGAATAGTGTATCATGGAACAAACAATTGTATTCCAAACATTTCTCAACACTTAAAGATCCGAGTAAAAAGTTTGGAGTAGGTTGCCCCTAACATCATAAGCCCTTTTTGGGCTGAATATTGATGCATTAGGACACTTTTTCTAGACATACGTTGCAAATTTGTACTCTGGTAGCACTATGATACTACATCCGTTTCTTTAATATATGACACTATTAGTTTTTTATCAAATATTGTACCATTTGTCTTATTCAATTTTTTCACACAAATATATATATATATATATATATATATATATATATATATATATATATATATATATATATATATATATATATATATATATATATATATATATAAATAAATCATGCTTAAAGAACATTTAAAGATAAATCAAGTCATAATAAAATAAATAATAATTACTATATTTTTTAATAAGACGAATGATCAAATGTATTTTAAAAAGTCAACGATGATATATATTAAAAAAACGAAGGAGTACTATCTCTAGCAGTATACAGTAAGTACTTTGGCAGTTTCAGCTTGCAAGAATGACTAGGACGTATGATGGATCAAGGTACCACCTGCAGTGCTTCGGTATTCAGAGACAGCGATTTTCAATACATATATGCTTAGATGTTTGTAGATTAATTACATGTGTTCTATTATTATTTTCATCAGAAAAACAACACATATTTGTGACCGAGCTATTGATAAACAGAATGGCACGTATTCTTACTTTGCAATACCCACCCACACAATCCTGCCTCTTCATTGCAAATCGAACAACAAGAAAGATGGCAGCGTTGATATGTGAAAGATGGCAGCGTTGATATGTCGAACAAGATCAATCAAGGATGCTATCTTTCCTGGACACTTAAAAGCTCCCAAGAAAAGTACTGAGTAAAGCATCTGTCTCCAGCATTACAAGCACTTCTTTTGGCTGTATGTTCATGTCCAAGGAAGCTTTTCTGGACATCTGCCGGAAATCTGTGCTCTAGTACTAGCCTGCAGTATGCGGGAAGCACTTTGGCAGCATCAGCTTGCAAGAATAACCAAGATGCAATTACAGTGCTTCAGTCTCAGTACATGCTTAGACGTTCGTAGATTCAAGTATTCAACACATACATGCTCTTCCCATTCTTTCTATCAGAAGCAAAAAAATTTATGACTGAAGCTACAGAGCCTTAAGTACTTCCAACACCGACCTCACATAATCCTGTCTCTTCGTGCAAATAACTTTATGCATTTTTTTTTCGAACGAAAGGAAATAACTTGATGTAAAAGAAGATATAACAATAATGCTATCTTTCAAGGTAAATATGAGCATCTCGGATAAAATATTCCCAAGCAACACACAAGCAAACATTTGACTCCACAAAACAAGATTACACCGAGACAACTTCTTATCTGCTTCCACAAGATACAATTGCAATGACCTTTGTAAGGGGGAACAATAGAAAGTTGAAACAACTGGAATAAGGTTACAAGGGAATGAAACTAAATTTGATAAACTGAGGAGTAAGATCCAGTCGGAGCTCACTATTGCCGATTTATGACTTGCCGGTTTGTTCATACCTCCCTAAGCCACCCAGAGATTCTGGAATCCAGGGAATTATGCCATGAAAGGCATGGACAAACTGAAGAGTTCTTGAGAAGGAGGAGGAGAAGGAACAGCACAGCCATTCTTCTCCATCCTCATACTGCTTATGCTGCTCCCGATCTCAAGAACCATGAAGATGCTCCTGCCATGCACCCACCATGATCTGTGGAGGCAGAGAATTCAAGAGTCTTCATGAGAAAAAAAAAAGACAGGCCAAGAAGCCATGAGGTGTCTTTCCGTACCTGATTGAAGTTGCAAATGCTCAGCTGTTGATGAGGCAAAAGCTAGGGGACTAGTGAGAGAGCCAAGAACTTGCACGGTGGCATTTTAAAGAGGCTAGTGTGGTGCGCTTTATGGGAAAGAATGACAATGAAAGGTAGAAAACAAAGTTTACTGTGTTCAGTACGTTTATTTTACTGAACATGCCTCAAACATCAATCTACTAAACTTAAATCTGTTGACAATTCTACTACACTTCATCTGTTGACGATTCTTCGTTCCTATCCTACTTCTGGGGCTCCCAAACAAACTTACTAAATGTAGGTATAATTGTAGAGCTGTCACTCCTACCTATTTAAGTGGGACATTCGAACACCTTCTGTCCTCCAATTAGAGTACCAAAGGCATCGATGTTAGTAAAAGTTTAGACAACCTCTATACCTCAATTGATCTGTCAATTTTTACCATTTTGGTAGCAGCTGCTGACCAACAGTCATGCTTGCCGGCAAAAGTTCAGAAGCAAACATTCATGTAGGCATGTAGCTAACCAATTACTTAGAAGTTAAGCATCTCACGACTAACCTGGGACAATAAACCCAACCAGATGTTTACCAACAAACAGAGTCTAATCAGCTTTCACTGAGCAACCAAATCCACAGATCCGCGATAAAAAGAGAAGAGGGCATCCTTTATATAAAGCTAAAGAAGCAATCTTCCTTTTCGAGATGCGCATTTTTCATAATATATGGAGTTTGGAGCAATGCAGCCTGCCTGTTCAGCCACTAACTCATGCTGACAAAGTTTTGCAGCACTTCATCTGACTCATGACGATGTAATTCTATGAGGGCAACAAGGTTGTAAATTGACTTAGTAATCCAGATTTGGTACAAACAAACTAAGCTTAAGGGCAGGGGAATATACTATCTATGCAGCATGCGTTACTGCTCCCACCACAAAAGAGAGGAAATCAGCACCACCAATTGTGGGCACCAGGTCCAGCACTCCAGCTACATTAGAGCTGTGTTTAGTTCACGTCAAAATTGAAAGTTTGTTTGAAATTGGAATGATGTGACGGAAAAGTTGAAAGTTTGTGTATAGGAAAGTTTTGATGTAATAGAAAAGTTGAAAGTTTGAAGAAAAACTTTGAAACTAATCACGGCCTAGACCCTCCCAAACAATCTCCCTTTTCCTCTCTTTTTTTGTACAGGTGGGTGAGCAAGAGGGGAAGTGAAAATTCCTCTTGCGAGTGCACCCAATCATTGCCATCATGCACACTACCCTCACTCCCTGATGAGAAGCACTAACGTCTTACAGGGTCCTTTCGACCTTACGCGTCATCCATGAGACCATGACCAACAGAGAAAGCATCAATATGTGCACGCATCACTAGTCTTTGGACTGATAGTCTCCACCTCTAGCTGTGTGTCCGTGTGTACTGAATGATTTTTTGTTTGTACAAACCAAAACATGTTGCTATGAAAAAAATTAAATCCTGTCCAGCCTTGACCTATGGATGAACTATAACCTTCAGAAACGATGGCCTGAAAAGGAGGTAAAGTAGTACTAAAACATCATGCTTCTAAAGAATAAGTGCAAAGTTCATGGCAAAGGATTCTAGGGGTGTGTTTGAGGAGAAGGGGATTGAGTAGATTGGGAAGATACGCAAAACGAGGTGAGCTATTAGCTCATGATTAATTGAGTATCAACTATTTTAAATTTCAAAAATGGATTAATATGATTTTTTAAAGCAACTTTCCTATATAAATTTTTTACAAAAAACACACCGTTTAGTAGTTTGAGAAACGTGCGCGCGGAAAACGAAACAAACAAACTCACTCTCCCACCCTCTGGAACGCTGCCTAGGTCTACCCATCAGGGAGTAACAAAAAGTAGAGATGCTTTACTCAACAAAAGAAGAAACGAAGAAGAAAAGACATATATTAAATTATATATTTTTACTAAGAGAGTCCAATTCATTACATATTCTGTTGTCAATCAGCGCTGCGAATATGTGATCCATGTTCAGTTTACCCAAGACTCCTCTAGGGTTGATATCAGAAAGCATTGCTGTTATACCCCACTACTCCACTAAATCCACTCAATGAAGAACAAATGTCTCACTCTCAATAATCTACAAAGCAATTGCCAACTTCCATTCGCTTTCAACAATTTATATTGCTGTCAATCTGTAGAGTGAAGACTAGTCTAAAGCTAACATCACTGAAGGGACATGATTACCCCACAAGAAATAAATGATTTGTTTTCTTCCTAGCATGCTCAGGGTGAGTAATGAGTAGTACTAATAGCCTAAACTTAAAATTTATCCCTTTTTGAGAGGCTTGATCCCAGCAAAAACAAATGACCAAATTCAAACTGCAGGGGACACAATTCAAAGAGAACACAATAAACCCATGAGCTAAATATGACAAAAAAAATCAAGAATGACAAAATAAATGGTAGGATGACTCTTTTACAGGACTGGACAAATTTATCCAACATGACAAACCCATTGATCTCCTGAATTAGGAGTATTGAGAGATTCAAGAAATTAGTAAAGTTATGAACATCTTTTTCTACACCATCTTCTAGCATATATCATTTTTTCTCTACCAGTATATAGGATAGCCAATTCTCCGACTCACAGCAACAACCATTCTCATCATCGTTACATGCTGCGGTACTATCAAGCCACAGAATAATAGAATATTTAATCCCTTTGGTTTTGCTTTGGACCCAAATGATCGGTGAACTAGTATTTGTACCAAAAAATGAAGTGGCCAGTGTTTCAGATAAGTGGATTTTCCTCATATACTAATTTTGACTGTGAATTGGTGCTTCATATAATACTTTGAATTACGTATTGCAAATTATACAAGTTCCTCTAGAACAGATATTAAAAAAAAAATCAGGGATGAGAACAATTGAATGCTGAAAAGTACCTATGATCAAGTAGGCAACTGGAAACAAAACCTCGAAGTCACCACATTAGCAACTTTTGCAGTAGAGGAGTAGATACGTAGCTATGCAAATTAACTGGGTACTACAAATTTCAGACTTGGCATTATCAGAAAGCCCAAGTAGAAACAACAATTCAGACTGCAATTTGATTACCACAAAGTCTGAGTAACTACCTGACAAATTTATAAGTCTTCTTGGTTGACTATATTCCCTAATAAGCCACTTATTAGGAAATAAAAATTAATTTATAGATAAAAATTTTATATATTTATTCTTAGCGACTTAAAAACCAATGCTGAAAAAGAAACTAAGTTAAGTATATCTTAAATCAACTTCAAAATTAAGTTTAAAAATTCAAATTTTGGCTTTTGCTCTAGCTTATTAGCCCAACAGATGGGCCTATTGTCTATGCAGTGAACAGTTCCATACTACGGCACAGTAAGATAAAAGTTTACAAAGGTTACCATTGTGATTTATTAAGGCTTGCTGCCAAGATATTATTATCAAGATTCCTGTTTATAATTTGCTTATTTGCACACGCTACTTTATCCTGGCAAATCCATTTTATTCTGACTGTGATTTAGTGATGCCTATATTTTGTTGGCGCCTACAATACAATGTAGATACTACTAGCATATCTGCTTATGAACTACAGATCTGCAAATGCAATGGATCTCAAATAATTATGCCCACGGTTCCCACATTAGATGCGCACGAGTAATTAAACTCTCTGCAAAATGGTTCCAGAAATGCCAACAGGACAATGAACAAAGCCTAGTCAGTTTAGCTTCAAATTCAAACACAACCAATTTGCAAGGAATAGTTAATTTCGGAGCAAATACTATCGAACAACAGAACTGCGCAGAACATTCTTCAGAGGTAGTACATGGCTGATCACAAAGGACAATGATGTGACCATGACTACTATAGATACAACCGTCGTTCACATCAAGATCAAGCTGTCCAAGTTCTGCAATCCAGTTCGGTCACCTGCTACAGTGTCGACTTCAAACGGCCGCCAAATATGCATGCGAGCTCCATTTTAGGTCCATGAGTACTTGATGGAAAGCTCTCGGAGTCATCTTTCCAATGGATCCAGCTTCATCGCCAAATTCCATCCCAGTCGGGCGAAATCACAAAGAGAAGGTGTTGCGTCACCTATAATGGGCCTATGGGCTTGTAACTTCGTCTGGGACCCCGGCCCAAGTGGGGCCCATGTGGGGTGCGCCCCAACCAGGTGGAGCACGACCCTAGGGTCCCCTTAGGTCGTCCTCCCACCTCCTTAAATAGTTAGGTACCCCTTTACAGTTTATTGGGTTTTGATAGATTAAAGTTTAGCCATTGCTACTTGCTTGCAGCGCGCGTGTCGGCTAGACCGTCCGTCTGCTTGTTCTTCGGAACCCCAACTTATCATTCGTATTTAATTCTTATTTGCAATTCAGATTACTTTTATCTTGTTATTGCTTGTGTCGGTGATATGGGACCGGGAGTATCATGACTAGAGGCTTGAGGCAGACACAATCGCCCACGTGGCCTGGCACCTTCGGGGACGTCGGGCCCGAGGGTGAGGTGTCCGCCCTCCTCCTGATTTCCCCCGAGGGGGGGTCGGGTTGCGCTTGCCCCGGCCCCGAGGGCCGAGGCACCCCGACCCCCTTAAGGAAGTCTGCGCCACATATATGGGATAAGTGAGCACAGCAGTGCTCACCTAACAGCATTTATTGCAGTCTGGTCAAGCGTGTCACGCTGCATGCAACGCAGTACAGCACGCTCTTTTATCCGGTCTGTGACCAGTCACAGACCGGTCAGATCAAGGGTTAGGTGGCGACTGGCGGTCTGACGCACGCCTTGCCCCATCCCATCAAGACGAAAGCCTCTAGGCACTCGTCTCAAGCCGGAGCAAGCGTGTTATTTCTTAGAGATGGCACGTTAGCCCTGGTTAGATTTATACCAGGCTTCATCCTAACCATTACAGGCAAGGTGTTACACGAAAAAGGGCAAACGTGCACGTTGTTAAACTGACGCGTGGTGGACAAGAATGACCGGTCTGACACTGGTCGCATCAGCAACGGGCAGCCACGATCTCACGTTGCGCCCGTCTCCGCCGGGAGTGGAGGTAGGTGTGAGTTGTCCCATCGAAGTGTCATTTGGACGACAACCATACCAATCTCCGCCCATTAAAGAAAAAAAGAACAGTCCAGTTTGGAAAGGGAAGG